GGCACCTTACGAAATTCCCAGCTTCCGTACGAGAAGCGGCACGTCCGTACCCGAAGAGTCCTGAATTGAGTTTGAGCTCGATATCGTTTTGATAACGCCGGTGGTACAGCACACCTTCGGAAACCGGTCGGATGTTTTTTCCAGTGTCGGAGAGCTCAGTTGGCTCCGAACATGGCCAGTCTGATACTTACCTTTCCCTCCCACTCACAGAGAGAGCCCATCATCCGTCCTTCTTGCGTCAAACTCAAACATGTTGAAACGAACCCGAAGATGGCCGACCGAACGGTTGCTCTCTCTCATCCACCATTGTCGTACACTGTGGGTCACCCTGTGTAATATAGTGTTGCCGTTGAATATTATGTTGAAAACATCTGGCAACAAACTAATAAAAGGACATGGAGCGCCACCAAAGATAAAGATTTCGAAGATTACTATATATTATAAGAATGAAAAAAAAAATTATAAGATATAGCCATCCCTGTGAGCCATATAGGCGAGAACCCATCTTATTTTCAAGGGATCCCACCACAAAAATGAACAAAAAATCTAAAAAATACTTTGTCTCAGGATTTTGATGCAGAATAGTGGAGAATTGATTCAGAAATCGTTTAAGGTACTCCGCTTGAGAATCGGATCAGAATTGAGGAAGATATAGCCATCACTGTTGGCCCCATAGGGGAAAACCTCATTTTCAAGGGATCCCATCACGAAAAATGGACAAAAAATCTAAAAAATATTTTGTCTCAGGATTTTGATGCAGAATGACGGAGAATCGATCTAGAAATTGTTTAAGGTACTCCGCTTGAGAATCGCATCAGAATTGAAAAATTGAGGAAATTGAGGAAAACCTCATTTTCAAGGGATCCCATCACGAAAAATGGACAAAAAATCTAAAAAATATTTTGTCTCAGGATTTTGATGCAGAATGACGGAGAATCGATCTAGAAATCGTTTAAGGTACTCCGCTTGAGAATCGCATCAGAATTGGGGAAGATATAGCCATAACTGTTGGCCCCATAGGGGAAAACCCCATTTTCAAGGGATCCCATCACGAAAAATGGACCAAAAATCTAAAAAATATTTTGTCTCAGGATTTGGATGCAGAATGACGGAGAATCGATCTAGAAATCGTTTAAGGTACTCCGCTTGAGAATCGCATCAGAATTGGGGAAGATATAGTCATCACTGTTGGCCCCATAGGGGAAAACCTCATTTTCAAGGGATCGCAATACGAAAAATGGACAAAAAATCTAAAAAATATTTTGTCTCAGGATTTTGATGCAGAATGACGGAGAATCGATCTAGAAATCGTTTAAGGTACTCCGCTTGAGAATCGCATCAGAATTGAAAAATTGAGGAAATTGAGGAAAACCTCATTTTCAAGGGATCCCATCACGAAAAATGGACAAAAAATCTAAAAAATATTTTGTCTCAGGATTTTGATGCAGAATGACGGAGAATCGATCTAGAAATCGTTTAAGGTACTCCGCTTGAGAATCGCATCAGAATTGGGGAAGATATAGCCATAACTGTTGGCCCCATAGGGGAAAACCCCATTTTCAAGGGATCCCATCACGAAAAATGGACCAAAAATCTAAAAAATATTTTGTCTCAGGATTTGGATGCAGAATGACGGAGAATCGATCTAGAAATCGTTTAAGGTACTCCGCTTGAGAATCGCATCAGAATTGGGGAAGATATAGCCATCACTGTTGGCCCCATAGGGGAAAACCTCATTTTCGAGGGATCCCATCACGAAAAATGGACAAAAAATCTAAAAAATATTTTGTCTCAGGATTTTGATGCAGAATGACGGAGAATCGATCTAGAAATCGTTTAAGGTACTCCGCTTAAGAATCGCTTCAGAATTGGGGAAGATATAGTCATCACTGTTGGCCCCATAGGGGAAAACCCCATTTTCAAGGGATCCCATCACGAAAAATGGACCAAAAATCTAAAAAATATTTTGTCTCAGGATTTGGATGCAGAATGACGGAGAATCGATCTAGAAATCGTTTAAGGTACTCCGCTTGAGAATCGCATCAGAATTGGGGAAGATATAGCCATCACTGTTGGCCCCATAGGGGAAAACCTCATTTTCGAGGGATCCCATCACGAAAAATGGACAAAAAATCTAAAAAATATTTTGTCTCAGGATTTTGATGCAGAATGACGGAGAATCGATCTAGAAATCGTTTAAGGTACTCCGCTTGAGAATCGCATCAGAATTGAAAAATTGAGGAAATTGAGGAAAACCTCATTTTCAAGGGATCCCATCACGAAAAATGGACAAAAAATCTAAAAAATATTTTGTCTCAGGATTTTGCTGCAGAATGACGGAGAATCGATCTAGAAATCGTTTAAGGTACTCTGCTTGAGAATCGCATCAGAATTGGGGAAGATATAGCCATCACTGTTGGCCCCATAGGGGAAAACTTCATTTTCAAGGGATCGCAACACGAAAAATGGACAAAAAATCTAAAAAATATTTTGTCTCAGGATTTTGATGCAGAATGACGGAGAATCGATCTAGAAATCGTTTAAGGTACTCCGCTTGAGAATCGCATCAGAATTGGGGAAGATATAGCCATCACTGTTGGCCCCATAGGGGAAAACCTCATTTTCAAGGGATCGCAATACGAAAAATGGACAAAAAATCTAAAAAATATTTTGTCTCAGGATTTTGATGCAGAATGACGGAGAATCGATCTAGAAATCGTTTAAGGTACTCCGCTTGAGAATCGCATCAGAATTGAAAAATTGAGGAAATTGAGGAAAACCTCATTTTCAAGGGATCCCATCACGAAAAATGGACAAAAAATCTAAAAATATTTTGTCTCAGGATTTTGATGCAGAATGACGGAGAATCGATCTAGAAATCGTTTAAGGTACTCCGCTTGAGAATCGCAACAGAATTGGGGAAGATATAGCCATAACTGTTGGCCCCATAGGGGAAAACCCCATTTTCAAGGGATCCCATCACGAAAAATGGACCAAAAATCTAAAAAATATTTTGTCTCAGGATTTGGATGCAGAATGACGGAGAATCGATCTAGAAATCGTTTAAGGTACTCCGCTTGAGAATCGCATCAGAATTGGGGAAGATATAGCCATCACTGTTGGCCCCATAGGGGAAAACCTCATTTTCGAGGGATCCCATCACGAAAAATGGACAAAAAATCTAAAAAATATTTTGTCTCAGGATTTTGATGCAGAATGACGGAGAATCGATCTAGAAATCGTTTAAGGTACTCCGCTTAAGAATCGCTTCAGAATTGGGGAAGATATAGTCATCACTGTTGGCCCCATAGGGGAAACCCCATTTTCAAGGGATCCCATCACGAAAAATGGACAAAAAATCTAAAAAATATTTTGTCTCAGGATTTTGATGCAGAATGACGGAGAATCGATCTACAAATCGTTTAAGGTACTCCGCTTAAGAATCGCATCAGAATTGGGGAAGATATAGTCATCACTGTTGGCCCCATAGGGGAAAACCCCATTTTCAAGGGATCCCATCACGAAAAATGGACAAAAAATCTAAAAAATATTTTGTCTCAGGATTTTGATGCAGAATGACGGAGAATCGATCTAGAAATCGTTTAAGGTACTCCGCTTGAGAATCGGATGAGAATTGGGGAAGATATAGCCATAACTGTTGGCCCCATAGGGGAAAACCCCATTTTCAAGGGATCCCATCACGAAAAATGGACCAAAAATCTAAAAAATATTTTGTCTCAGGATTTGGATGCAGAATGACGGAGAATCGATCTAGAAATCGTTTAAGGTACTCCGCTTGAGAATCGCATCAGAATTGGGGAAGATATAGCCATCACTGTTGGCCCCATAGGGGAAAACCTCATTTTCGAGGGATCCCATCACGAAAAATGGACAAAAAATCTAAAAAATATTTTGTATCAGGATTTTGATGCAGAATGACGGAGAATCGATCTAGAAATCGTTTAAGGTACTCCGCTTAAGAATCGCTTCAGAATTGGGGAAGATATAGTCATCACTGTTGGCCCCATAGGGGAAAACCCCATTTTCAAGGGATCCCATCACGAAAAATGGACAAAAAATCTAAAAAATATTTTGTCTCAGGATTTTGATGCAGAATGACGGAGAATCGATCTACAAATCGTTTAAGGTACTCCGCTTAAGAATCGCATCAGAATTGGGGAAGATATAGTCATCACTGTTGGCCCCATAGGGGAAAACCCCATTTTCAAGGGATCCCATCACGAAAAATGGACAAAAAATCTAAAAAATATTTTGTCTCAGGATTTTGATGCAGAATGACGGAGAATCGATCTAGAAATCGTTTAAGGTACTCCGCTTGAGAATCGCATCAGAATTGAAAAATTGAGGAAATTGAGGAAAACCTCATTTTCAAGGGATCCCATCACGAAAAATGGACAAAAAATCTAAAAAATATTTTGTCTCAGGATTTTGATGCAGAATGACGGAGAATCGATCTAGAAATCGTTTAAGGTACTCCGCTTAAGAATCGCATCAGAATTGGGGAAGATATAGTCATCACTGTTGGCCCCATAGGGGAAAACCCCATTTTCAAGGGATCCCATCACGAAAAATGGACAAAAAATCTAAAAAATATTTTGTCTCAGGATTTTGATGCAGAATGACGGAGAATCGATCTAGAAATCGTTTAAGGTACTCCGCTTGAGAATCGGATGAGAATTGGGGAAGATATAGCCGTCCCTGTGGGTCATAAAGGGTAAGAGCCCCCCTTATCAAAGTGTGTCTCTCTTTTCTTGTTAGTGAATATTTTACCTCTTTCTTAACCGTTTAAAAAAAGAATGTTGGCCCAACCTAGGAAAGGTATAGCGTTTATAGATGTTTTTTACTTTTTTTCTAATATTTTGATGTATATATTAATATATACTCCTGAATCTTAGATGATTTTCTTTGAAATATATCCAGAGGTTTAAAGTTTCCAAGCCCTTTTGAAACATTGTTCAATTGTTAAAAATATTTACATTTATTTCGTTTCTTTTTTTTGGGTGGTTTTATAAACCAATAAAAAATTTAATTTACAATTTTTATGAGTTCAGGCTTTGAGCGATGGCGGAGACGGTGGATTTCCACACCCGCGACACAAAAGGCAGCTTAGCAGTCCAGAAACCGGCCAAGGACCAAGCTCCAATGATCCAGCATCCTTGTTCCTGGAAACCACATGGCACAAAGGATCACACCCACAAACAGAGACACAACTTGGAGAGTCAGACTTTTGGAAAACAAGAATCACACGGCAGTGATCAGGTGGGCCTCGTCCTCGTTGATACGATCGGATTTTCCATTGACCTCGATCGTGTGATTCGACTCGGTGTCACTGGGCTCCTGCTCCACCTCCTCCTCCTCCTCCTCCTCCTCCCCGTTTACACCGTTTTCCTGCTCCGGGGACTCCCTCTCCTCGTTTTCCTCGTAGATGACATCACAGCTGGTGGCTATCGTTTTGGGTGGCGGCTTCTTAACCGATTTTCCGCCCACATTGCGGTCGCCATTCTGCTGCAGCTCGGACATTTGGATCTGCATCTCCCGCAGCCGATCGGTGAGGACATAGAGGTCCCGTTCCTGGCTATCACAGCGTGTCCTCAGCTCGGAGATCTCACGCAGGTCCTCGGGTCGGGGATCCCTTCGCTCGTATCTCATGCGCATTTCCTCGAAACTGTGAAGGGAGATAGTTACCAGAGCTTAGTCTAAATGGTATTATGGATTTTAGGGATGTGGTTTTGGCGGAGGTTCTGACTTAGCGTACAAACAGCCCACAACACGGACAAGCAAAAGTATAGATAGTTTGGGGGAAAAGTTTAAAAAAGTTTCAGGATAGTTTTCAGTTAAAATTCTTTAAAAATGATTCTAAAAAATCTGTAATTTACTCTAATATGAAAAAAACTGTTTCTTTAAAAATAAAATTCTTTTTTAAACAATATATTAAATTTTCTCTCAAATAAAGAAAGACAAAGTTGAAAGTTCAAGAGGTTTTCAGGTTCAGGACTAGGGTGGCCAGGGCTAACCCTGGCTCGGGGTTTGGGGCTTGGGTCACTTACAGGTTGGTCAGACAGCGGCACTTGCGGTGCAGCTGCTCGATCTCGTTGGCGTTGCTGATGTCGCGCTTGTCCAGCGCCTGCTTCTCGGCATCGTAGGCCGCCTTCAGGTCCTTGAGGTTGCGCTGGTGCCGAAGTTCTACATCGCTGCGGATGGCGGATGCGGATATGGGCACGGGTGCGGATTCGGATTTGGATCGGGAAGTTTTTTGTTGTTATTCAGGTTAAATTATGGGGATAAAGTAAGTTTAAAAATTCAGTTTTTGAGACACACACAAAGCGAAAAGAGAAGAATTGATATATTAAGAGAATCATATAGGAGGATGAGGAGAATTGCGGGCTTCATTCCACTAAATTACAATAATCCCAAGGGTTCCTGATAAAGAATATTATGGTCTAAAGTTTTCTACAGGCTAACAGGAACCCATCGGGCATTATTTATTATTAAATGCTACTCAAGCTCAAGATTCAGATCGGAGGGTTAACTTTTATTGGCGCGCCAGGAGATGACGGTATTTCAAGTAAAGTACAGCGACAATATTGAACACTAAGCATGCGAGGGCGATCAGCGGCGACATGGTCAGGTATAGCACATATACTGTTGGCATATAGGGCCACGCCCCCTTGGCCAGCGCCCACCAGATTCGCTCTAAATAGCCCATGCTGATGCCGATGCCAATGCGGAAAATGCGGACGATGAAAATGTGAAACGAGAAAAACAGAATACAAGTCCATGAAAAATGAAAATGAATGCTCTTCAAGCCACATGAAGAATGGGGTATGAGTGTTGGCAGGACATTCAATAGTCAGGCTAATATGTGGAAAGCGGAAAGGGGCGTAACATGCCAGGGCCAAGGGCCTACTCACTTGATTCGTTCATCGGCAGCGGCCATTTTGGCGCGATGTCGTTCCACAAGTTCCTGCAGGGCCTCGTCCTTTTCCGCCTGCAGCTTGGCCTTTTGTGAGTCTACAAGGAACAAATGTTTACTCTATATTTTCCAAAAAGATAGGAAATTTGGGACCTACCCAGCTCTTTGCGGTGGGTGTCGACCATGTCCTGCGTGGAGAGCTGCAGCTCTTTGGCAAACTCCTCCTTCACCTGGCCCAGACGTTCCCGGAACTTGTCCTCCATCTCGGCCTTTTCCGCCTCAAACTCCTTCTTCAGATTTTCCTCGAGGTCCACACGGCGATCCTCCTCCCGGCACATGGCGTTCTGGTACTCCCGATCGGCCCGATCCAAATGCATGCGGGTCTGGAGCAGGGCGTTGTCGGAACGTTCGCGCAGGTCCAGGAAATCTTGTTTTTTAAGCTCAAGGTTTTCGTGCAACTCCTCGATCTGGGCGGGGAAGATTTTTGTCAAGTTCTGCGATTTATGGTAAGAAGGGATCATACCTCGGCTCTGAGCTCCTCCTCGTTGGCCGTATATCGATTCGTAAGGGCCCTAAGCTCCTCAATGTGCTCATTCTGCAGCTTATCCAAGGCATCCCGGCGTTCGTCCACGTACACGGACTCCAGTTCATTTGTCAGTCTTGTCATCTCTGTGCTGTGGATCCAGATAGTTAGAGGATGAAATATAATTAGATTCTGAAAACTTACTAAAGTTTGTTCTCCCAGAAGGCAGCAGCTTCGTTGCGCACCTCATCGATTTTGTAGATCATTTGCCGCTCCTTGTCGTAGATGGCACTGGAAAGGGAGGTCACATAATAATAGATCATACACCCTTTTACAGGATAGTTAGACTTACTTATCACACTGATACTTGATCTTGTGCACAGCCTCGATCTGGGCCTCGAGGTTCTCGTTGGCCGTCTCTAGGTCACCCTTGAGGTTCTCGATCCGGTCCATCAGGGTCTGGATGGACTGCTCCTGCTCGCTGACCACGCCCCTCAGCGAGTTCACCTGGGCCTGGCAGACGCGGAGGTGCTCGGACTCCTTGCGCCTGGACTGCAGTTCCTGCTCCAGCTCCTCCGCCTTGGCGGTGGCCTGCTTCCTCTCGTAGTTGGACTTGTCCATCTTGTCCTTGCACTGGCGCTGCATCTGGCGAAGCTGCCACTCGCAGTCCGTCATTAGAGATTCCTCTCGCTCTAGAATATTGATAGAGTTGGTTAATTATATATCTGAGCTGCTTGAAAACTCCCACCTCTATTGTGTGTCCTGAGCATCTCAAACTCTTCTTGCCATTTGTTCTCGCAGATCTTGCGCTCCGCTTCCGAGTTCTCCAGCGCGTTCTTCAGGATGCGTATCTGGTCCTCCAGCTCCGCCCGAATTCGGTCAACCTGCTGGCGCCACTCCTCGGCGTCGACCTGGGCACAGGCCAGCTGAGTCTGCAGGCTGCTGGCCAGGGCCTGGGTCTGTTTGTACTTCTCGGTAAGTTCGTTGTACTGAGCTTCGAGTTCGTCTGCAAGGGGAATTTTCAATAAAAATAGTCTCTACAGAGAAGAGTCTCTTTACTTACCATACTTGCGCTGCAAGTCGTCTTGATCTTCGCTGTATTTGTGCCGCAAGTGAACCTTCTCGTCCTCGAGAAGTTTCAGTTTTTTACGGACATATTCATCGTCCTTGTGGGCTGCACTCAGTTCACTTTGAAGTCCTTTTTGAAAAATATTCCGAAATATAGATCTACTCGAGTCTGTTTAATAATATTCCTCTTACTTTCAACATTCCATTGCTTGAGAGACAGCTCCTGCTCGAGTTTCTGGATCTTGCCCTGCATATCCCCGACCTTGGCCTCCAGTTGGTTGACATTTTTGTGGGCCTCATCCAGCTGGCTGCTGAACCTTACCTTCTGCTGCTTCAGCTCCTTTCTGCGAAGAAACAAAAAAAATCAAGTACGCGGATGAGTAATAATCCGGTGAGCGAAAGACATAAATCCCCAGACAGACGAATAATTCTAAGCGGAAAGCTGTCACTGAATAATCCCCAAAAACAAACAAAATGAATCACAAACGTGTTCCGCGCACGCAGCACGAATAAAATAAAATAAAATAAATAAATAAAAGTGAACCGCAGAAATTAATTCATTATAATTTTGATAGGGTGTAGTGGGAGCCACCTTTTATAGCCCGACATTGGGCGACTGACGTAATTTGGATGGAAAAGCTCGTTAAACGCGAATGAGGTGTAGAAACAGTGGCAATGTCTTCCTCAACCATAATTTGTTGAGATACATTATACAGATATAGATACAGCTATGGGTGTATATAGATACGGATATGGGGTGGATACGTAGACAAAGATGCCCACAGTAGTAGCAACTTTTATATAATATGTATATTATTATTATAGTATTCTGTGGCAGTGCTTTGTTTTGTTTTGGCTTTTCAACGCAAAAATGAAATACGTTTTAATTGAATTTATCTTAGTCGATGTTCGGCTGCTGCGAAAATGCGCAAAGTTTATTTTTAAAACAACGATGTTTCGTTTTTGTTTGCGCATTTTGCCAACTGTGCGAGTACAGTGCGGTGTGGCACTATAAGGCTATGCATTTAGAGGCTTAAAAGTATTCAAAGATGTATAACTTAACCTATCATCATGCCCCGCAGTGTCTACTATTTGCATACATATTTCTCGTATAGACAATGAGCGGCGAATTTATCAAATTTTAGTGACACGCGGTTCTGGCTTTTCTCTAGAGATACTCGGACTGAGATACAGACAGAGACGGATTAGTGGCGAAAGAAAGAGACGACCATACCAAGACGACAGATGCAACCCGTGTTCTTAGATTGAAAGTTATTTTAATTATTTTTGGCAAGAGCATCTCTGCCGCCTGTGAACTTTCCGCTGCGAATGCTGGGATTCTTTTCTATTTGTTTATGCCCAAGTTGCTCATTAAAGTGGATTAGATAAACAACCGAGGGGCGATGAAGGGGAGAAAAAACAGTGGCGTTGGAAAAGCAAGATAGCCATTAGTTATTCGAGGGAAATTACGCATACGCCGCATGTGCCGAGCCGAGCCGGTCCGGGCCGGGTCGGGAATAAACAATCTTTCAATGCTAACGGATACAAGTTTCCCCGTATGCCCAATCAATTATCCGCCCAAAAATCAAGAACAACCCAAATTAAATTCCACAAGAGCAGGCCTGCCCAAGAAACTGCTCCAATTATGAACGATTCCAAATTTACTTGTCCGCCTCTTTTTTTTTTTGCAATTCGTCTAAAATAGCTAGTCGCCGAAAAAAATAATGAAAACTAGAGCAGCCTGATCGTGTGTTCTATGCACATGAGAAAATATGAATGAGGAAAGTGCGAAACGTTCGCGGCTAATCGAAGATTTAATACTCTAGAATATATAGTTTAAAGATAATAAATAATATTCACCAAAACAATTCCTCACTTCTTTTAAAAATTTTCTAAAAATAATCCTTTTTTTTTGTGAAGCCCCATATACTTTTTAGTATTCCACCTAAACCACCTGGCTTTCTGAAATATCCCCTAATTATAGTTAGCAAAAAACGAGCGTGGGAATCGGCCAACATGTTGCCAAAAAATTATTCAAAATTCAAGAGGAAGAACATTTAACGCGAAATGACGAAGTGAATTTATTTTCGCGTCCCGTTCGAGTGCTCTACACTCGATATTTCACCTAAATCCAATGTTTATTATATTCGAACACCAAAAATTTACATAAATATAATTTGTCTAAATAATTTTCGCCATTTGCATGTGAGACACTTGCCGCACGGCTGTCATAATCTGTCATATCGCCGAAGGCCAAACAAAAACCCCAAAAATGCCACAGAGCTATTGCTTTCACACTGCGTATACGTAATGGGAGACATGTATCCGCAGGCCAGTGGGCTTTTCTAAGGAATTCCATTCTATAAATATTTGTACTCGCACTAGGTATTTTGTGACACGAAATAATCTATCAAAACAATTATGTTTCACTTTTTTGGGATAATTCTTTGTGCCTTTTTAAGGTCTTGTGATTGTTTCAAATCACTTCAAAGTGATTCTCATTCATATTTGATTGGCAGATGCCAGAAAATATATCTCAGCATTCAAATGGTACACAGTTTATACGTTGTGGTCTGTTTAAAAATAGTCGCCCCTGACTGGAAGTTGGCAAAAAAAAAAGACAACGAGGGAAATTTCCGCTGAATGGACGGGAAATCAGAGAGAGAAACCAGATCGGAAAGCAGCATTTTCCATGACACAAAGATCAAGATAAATTGGCTGCATCTAGCCACGTTAATGGGGAAAATTGTTGGCATGCGGTGCGATTAAATAAATACGTCGCACTAGGGGCAGCTGTTCGAACTGGCTAAATATCACGTATACGCCAGGGTGGCTTGTTTGGCTTTTGTTCACTTTTATAAACGGAAAGGAGTGCGGCTTTAGGTAGAAGTTTATAATACTCACCTTAGCTCTTGATTATCAAAGGGACTCTCCTGTCGCACTGGCTTGTTCAGGATACAGCCATCCTCCACGATCTCGATGCTGGGCGGCATGTCCAGGTCGTCCCGGCTACGCGGCTTGTTCGGACTGGAGCTCCGGCTGTGACTGCGACTACGAGTGCTGCTGCCACCCTCGATGTGGATCGGGATAAAGTGCACATTCCCGAGACTATTGCCCCCCGCTCCATTGGCTATATTGATGTTGATCTGCGAGTCGCCATTGGCAGTGGCTGATGTTCCTTGGCCGGCCGCTGCTGCCGGCATCGATGGTGATTTCTCGGAGGTCGTTGACTCCACAACCACATCCGGCAGACTGATGCTCTCGATGCAGACCAAACGCTCGCTGAAATCACTGAATTCGTCGAGTTCGTCGCACTGCAGCAATGTCTCCTCGCAGTCGGTAGAGTTGCCACGGGAGGTGTGGTTCAGGTTCATACTCAGGTTCGAGTTCAGATGGCTCGTATGGTGACTCAGGTGGTTGACATGATGCGATGAACTGCGGGGCGGTGGTTGAGGCGGTTGTGTCGCTGCCGGTGGTGCTGGCGACAACTCCTGCTCCCCGATCCCCGAGTCCGCATAGCTACTGCTCAGATTGGAGTCGCTTTTCAGGGCGCTCCTCTCGCTGCTGGCCGACTGACGAGAGATTCCGTTCATCCGAGGGTGCTCGAAATCCAGGTCCACGGCCTCGTCTATCTCGTCCAAGTCCTGATCCTCCTCCTCTTCTTCAGCCTCTTCCTGGACATTTTCCAGCTTTGTGTGACTGAGGCGGGTCCAGGGACGGTTGTTGCAGTTCTGGTATATGGTGGCTGGTATTTCGGAGGCGAAAACCTCGTCCTCCAGGGTTTCTATGTGAGCCTCGTTCAGTTCCTCAATGTTTAAAGTGGTTTGGCCATTTTTGGGACTACTATTCAGTTCGTAGAATATTTCCCTTGACCTGTGATCAGGAGTCTCGTTCTTTTCGGTCTCGTAGAAAATTTCATGGGGGGTTTCTTGCTTTTGATAAAAACTTGTTGGCTTATTTTCCGTAGAATGGAACTTGTGAGGCACTTCCGTGTCCTCGTCGTGGAAACTGCAATCTTCCACAGTGATTTTGGGCACTTCCGGTGACTTTTGATGCCTGGGCGGTGCCTGAGGCGGCGGATTCGAATTAATAATTGATTCGCGGAACTCTCGTGGTGTGCTGGCCCGCGAACTATGGGCCGAACCACTGCTAATTTCATTCGGTTTGGCGCTGGTCTGGCCCATGGTTATGTCACTTAAGTGTTGTTGCTGTTGCTGATGCTGTTGCTCCGGTGGTTGATGTTGCTCGTGCGCTGCCAGATGTTGCTGATGATGCTGCTGGCTGCTGGCGGTTGCATCGCCGGGAGCTGCTGTTTTCCGCTCAACGCTTGCCGCCTGAATGAGATTCTTGACGCCGCCAACGGGGCCAGCGCCGCCATCTCGTGGCGCACTCATGGATCTGGCTCTTATGCTCCTCGGACTGATCGGATCGCTCTGATTTTCCGGATTGCTCTGCGGAAAAACCATTTTCTCTGCCACCGTTGCTCCAGCTGAATTACTGCGTGGCTCTCTTCGGTCACGTTGGATTTTCTCTTCGAGGTTCGTCGGGCTATTATTAGCCAAAGTCATTTGATAACTATTTGGGGATGCGAGCGCGGGGTCGGAGTTCGTTTCAAGGTGTACGGCAGCGGCGGTGATTACGTCTTTGGCATTATATTTGGGCGATTTGGTTTTGCCAGTAAAATTTTGATGTTGCTGTTGCTGGTGTTGGTGTTGCTTTTGACGCTGATGGTTGCGACCACGCGCCATGAAAATGTCGCTGAGGAAATCGCGACTCTTCTGGAGAGTTTTTCGCTTCTTGGACTGAGATTGCTCCTCCGGAGGATCGGCCGAGCTGAGAGTTTTGGTTAGGTTCCCGATCGATAGCAGGGAGTGTCGTTTGTGCGGTTCGTTTGGGCCACCGTTGGGCTGCTGGCGCGGGCTAGTGCCAATCAATTGACCACCAACTGTGTTCGCGGTGGCTGCCTCGTTTTGACTGAGACCGCGAAGAGACGGGCGAATCGGTGTCCTCGCATCTCCGCCCATGTTATTTATATACAAATCGTCCGAGGAGCGGCCATTAGCAGCTGTTTTTGCTAATTTTAAACGCTCTTCGTTGCTATCGCCATGGCAGTCGCCATCATCATTGTCGCTTTCAAAGTCCTCCAGCTCTTCGATCACCGCCCGCCTGGCTCTTTCCCCGTTCTCTTGCCGAAGAGAAGTGCTTGAAGAAGGGGCCCTTCCCTCGACCTGGCTATATCTCTCGGCATTATCCTCCTTTTCCTCGTCACTGCCGATCTTGTGCGTTTTTCCGCGACGTGATCTCCTTAGCAAATTAAACATATTGCTCTCTCTTGGGTGTCTCCGATCTTTAGTTCGGATTTTCTCTATCCATTTAATTATTTTCGTTTGTTTTTCGTGTGTGTTTCGTTTCTATAAACAATCGTATTCGTAGTATTTATTGTTTTTGTATTTTAAATGCTTTCAACCTGTTGAAAATATTTTACAATGTTACATTAGTATTTATTTAATTTTGTATTTTATTTTATCTGTTGTAGCATTGGGAGGCTGTTTAATTGTCGTTAATTAGTTTACACTAGACGGGCGAATTTCGGTTTCTGCAGCCTTCGACTTGGCTGGCGGATAAACTGCGACTGTCGCTCAGAAAGCGCTTCATGCGATGCGCCTGCTATATACTTTAGTTCATGATGATCGGGATCGAGATAGTGATAATGATTGAGCTCATCATGGCCATAGGCAATGCTGGACAAATATGAGTAACAAGTAGAAAGAGTACGAGCAATTTGAGTGAGTGCACTTGAAGAAATTAGGGTAATGGGTGGATAACAGACACTTAAATATTATAAAAAAATCTGTAGATGAGACTTAAATTAAGCGTTTTTTTTATGTAAAAAATGTTCATTTTTCTCAATGTAATTGGGACAAACATATGGCATAATTCGTATTAATTATCCGACAAAAAGAGCACACATTCGCTCCACACATATCTGAGCTTATGGTTAGCTTGATAATTGCTTATGAATATTAATTGATGTGTAGAAAGCCGAAGCAAGCTTGCTGTCCATTGTTATTTTCCTATATGGATGGAGATACATGTATGTACATTCATAGCTATGCGTCATTATGTGTCATCCGATGAGTAGCAACAACAATTTGCTAATTGTATATTGTCGAAAGCTGTTCAATTGAGTTGTGGGATAGATATATTGAAATATTGCCAGTCCGTAAATTGAACTTCTTGAGTTTAGTTTGTTGAAACCTCAATTTTCTTAGGGCTCCTAAAAGTATGCTATACACTTTTGTGAAACTAAACTCTTGTTTTAATATTTTAGTAAAGACATTTCCTCAACTAAACGATTTCTCGCCGTGTCTGCACTTGAGTCACTGTTCCTCCTTAGTCATTAGTCTCTCCATTGAAAGAAAAGTTCAAATTGCAGGGACCAGGCCAAAAATAAACTAATCACGTTGCTCCCAGCACAACATCATAATCCCAATGCAATTTCCTGCCACTTCGAAACTCCCCTTTTTTCCATGCTTCTATTTCAAGTTCAGAATGTTTGCAACTCTCTCTCAGTATTTCCTCCATTCTGCACACAAACGAACCAATCATAGGCGGCTATAAAAAAGGAAAAGTCTAGCAGTTTCTCCAAGAGATCTGGCTAAATATATCCGACGGAGGGCTTTCCACTTTTCATTGACGTAACCATAAAAGAGGCGAAAAATTGGCCACGATATCATTATACGTTGTTTGGAATTAATTAAACTTAAATTTTCATTCGATTTAATACCCTAATTTCCTCCACGCCAAAGCAACCTAGAACCCATCAAGAAATCTATAAAAAGTTTGCTAAACAATTCATGGAACAGTTCGCCAATTTTTCGATTATCCCAGTGCCAGCGGCGCAATTTTTCCTTCTTCCATTGAATAAAATTTATTTTTGAAAACAGATAAAAACCAAACGCCTCCCAGAGATCAACAAACAAAAAAATTGGGGCAAAGGTGGAGGCATCAGGGGACTCTGTATATACTAGTGGGTTCTGGGCTGGTCAAGTGCATGACGTTCTTACTTTTGGCACGAAATTCAAAAACGGAAATGATGCAGTCACATATAATTAAAACGAAATTAAGTTTCCTCTATGGAAGATCAAGATCAATTAGGAAATGAAATAAATACACAAAGTTACAGCCGCATGCCTCGAGAAGCACTGACCCACTTCGTAAGTCGTTCAAGTTTACAGCCTTCAACCAGATGGCTTGGGCTTAAATCAAATGTTGAATATACTTTTATATTTTATATCAGCCAATTGTTGCACAAGCTCAGCGAAAACAAAAAAACACGTATATAAGTATTTGTGTTGAGGAAAAACAGGCGCAAAAAAGATACTTAAATGATAAATGTATCATAAATTTTGCACTTGGCCAATGCCATTGCCCCGAACTATAGGCCCCAAATATCAGTCAATAAAGTCCATTAGGAAAATTCTTGTAGAAAAAAATGTGTTAAAATATTTATGTTTCTCTTTTTTGTGCGCGAGCGTGTCTGCTGAATAAAATTAATAGAAATTAAAATAATATGACAATAAAGCAGATTCAACGAAATATGCCTGAATATTTGGCATGCCTTGGCGACGAAAGAACATATGTTTGCAATCCAGCGGAAATATATGTGATTTTTTATTAATAGGTTTGGCTTTCTACAGTACGTTTCGCGTAGATATGGGCCGCGTAGCTTGCTGAGAATAAAATCTAATATATTTGAGACGCACTGTACGTGTAAACCTTCACGCATATGGTTCCTAACAAGACACTTGATATTCGACGCGTGGAGGAAACACAAAGTTCTCAGCCAAGGTAGGAAATACCTCAGTGTCATCTGCGGTTATTACTTGAGATATGGAATCTGGTTCTTGGGGCAACTACTGGGGGCACTTTCTCTTCACTTCACTACACGTTTATTTACTTTCAGTACTCCCGGGTCGGCTGCTCCGACTGTTTGTTTCTTGTCGCCGCCCACGCAGTCCACCCAGCCGACCTGGCACTGGGCCAACTGACATTGACTGATGCCAGATCAGGCGGTATTATCCCAAGAACATTCCGGCCACAGAGTTCCCCAGCACCCAGCACCCAACACCCAGCATCCAGCGCCCAGGGACGGGTTAATGTTTTTCTTAGCTCGTCGGATTTTCTCATCTGATCTCGAAGCAAGCTGTTTTTGTTCTTCGCAACTGATGATTTTCTAAACAGGGGGGTGTGATGAAAAGACTTTTGTAAAGGGGAGCAGGGGCAGTAATAAATTTTAAAATTAGTAAAACTATTAAGGTGGCGGCGGGCGACAAAAATTTTATTGCGACACGCCTGCCTTGAGGTGTTAGCTGATTTAATCGTGTGTGTCTTGGGCGAAAGCCCAAACAAATCTTTGTTAGGATTTTTGTAAAAATTATGGCAGAGGTTAATTAAAAAGTAAATAAACTATTTAATATTCTAAACTGTTATGTACATAGTTAGTTAGTTAGTTATTATTGTTAAGTTAGCTTTTAAATAACTTTCAAAATCTTCTACAAATGCAATTAAAACACACACCTTTCTATTATATTTTGTTTTGTGAGTATTTTAAGAAATTATTAACACTTTCCCTTACATGAGTCATTTACATAGATTATTTTGAAATATTATTATAAATATTATTTACACAGAGACACAAAACAAACACACACACAGGAGTAAACTGTCCGACTGATTCAATTTTCTTAGTGACGCGGCATGACAATTAATATTTGTAAAATTTAGTATTTCCCATTTCCGGCTGTTGGGGGGGTGTAGTGGGTGGATAGGTTGGGTGAAAAGGGGGCGGAAAACACTTGTTAGTCGTTAACAGCCGACGGCTCGAGCGCATCGACTGCGCGGGGCGGGAAATTCATTTTTCACTTTTCACAAACGGCACTAAGGCACTCGCCGATCCCCGATCGCGTTCCAAACTGCGTCAGACACTTTTCACGACTGACGCAGAAAACCGTGTAGATCGCCGAGGAAAATTGTCGCTCGGCAGCTGCTGGGGATGCCGCTTCCTATCGATAGACATCCACTCGACGTCGATCTGCGAGCAAATGGTAGCCGTTCACCGAAACACATCTCGGATCTCAATTGTTGCACAAACAAATGGAGCACAAGCTGACCCATAAATCAGGCAAAAAAACATTTACTCAGAAAATACGCCACTCATCCGAGACATGGAAAAATAAATAATATGCCTAAATGTTGCCTTCCAGCAATTGAAGTTAGTGGAGGCTAAACTAAAGACTTTAATCAAAAGAGATCCATAACCTTTGTAAATAATTAAACGTAAATCACTCGAGATTTATAAAGAAAACAAGAGGTACATGTATTATTGTGTGCATTTTAAAAACATTTATTGTGGAATTTATTTAAGCAAAATTATTAATAGTAACTTGTATATAATTTCTGAAACATTCAATAATGAACTTATATGTTACTTTCGATTTCATGCCTCACTGACCAATCCAATTCGTGGGGATCTCCTCTCCTTTGTAGGTTTCAACAATAGTTCTATAATAAAAACCAAAATGGCCATAGCATGACCACATCCCAGGATAATCCATAGGAACTTGAGGTCCTTGATGCACAAGGGAGTTGGATTTTGATTGGAACTCCACCGCATCGTTATGTTTAGGGCCTTTTTGAGATGGTACGGTGAATGGTTGATCAAATGGTGTATCATTCCAGACTCTTGGAACCCGAGTAAAAATTGGGCTAGATTCCCGTCGATTCGGGAGTTGTTCTGCTCAATGTACTTCATGGGAATGCTCTGGACAATGGTGAGGCCCGGTATGGTGCAGAGGACCTTGCGTCCGACAGATCTCTGGTAGCTTTCAAGGATGCGCACATTCTCCGTGAACATGATGTAGGCGTTACTATCGTTTAGCGATAGAATCATTCGGGTCCTTTCCACTTGTCCCACGTCTACGACCTTTGTCAGGTTCCGTTTCAGGAAATCGGGGCCAACCTCGGAGTCTAGGAATTTTCGGACCAAGGGGGGCACGATGACGTTAAGATCACTGGCATTTAACTCTTCGAAAGAATCGATCTGTGGATGATTTAAGGGCTCGGTCAGAAGAGCTTTAAGCTTGCATCCGCAGAAGCTGCTGAAGATAAATCCGAATACACTGATGGCCAGAAAGAGCTGTTTCATGGAAAAAGTGAGGTGTCGTTGCACGTGAAAGGGGAAGCCCCAAATGGCGCCAAAGGCTCGCAAGTTAATCAGATGGTCTATATAAGACACTCTATACGCATTTCCATGAAATCGATGGGAGATCTTTAGTATAAGTATCTCAGCAATCACGAAAGCTACATAGACTGGTAGAAGATAGATAAGCCAGTTCTTGAAGTCAAGGCTTCGGAGCACTTCGAACATTGTCCTCTTCCTGCCACAGGGAACAACTATAGTCAATGAGTTCATGTCGTAGGGGTTCAGGTGCCTGAGATCGGTGTTTTTGGATTCGAGGTGAGAGTTTAGTCGAATGCCTGGCTTATTAGATGAGTTGTCATTGGTTCTGCCCATAACATTAAACGTCAAATTGTATTTCGAAGCAAAGTCTATGATTTGGCGGTCGTGTATGTGAAGCAAGGGGATTGTTCTATTTGATGAGATGCTGACGTTTATTGAAGGTTCGGCGTCCCAGTCAGGCAGGACATTCATTATTCTGCCCTCGTAGTTAGTTTCCTTTGGCAAAAAAAGGTAGCCTCCTTTCCCAAGTATTTTTTTTACCTTTTTAAAATGTGGCTTAGGGTGTGCCTTTAAGCGAAGAACTAGGTCTGGTCTTCTGCCGTCGTCCTTCATCTTTAAAATCAACATTCTATCAAATTGATACTCATCGACAAGCTCGCAAATCCTATGAAGAAAGTCCTCTGAGATGCTTGTCTGCATCCATAAAATAATGGGGCTCTGCCGCATACTGTTGAAGTCCTGGGCGAGAACTTGCAGTAATTCCACATCCGACTGCCGACAAATGCAGACCAGCGCCAAGCTTAAATGATTGAAATACTTTCGAACTTCTACTCCGGCTCTGTTGTCGAATCGAAGAGATGGAATCTCTGGATGGTTCCAGTTCTGTAGAGCACAATCTCTAACCTCATGATGCTTAAGAATAAATAACGTGTTCATAGCTTTATTTCGTGGTATCTTCACCAAAAGCTTGTTTAGGAAACTCATTTCCATATTCGCCGACTCAATTCCCATGAAATGGTACAAAACAAAGACCAATACAGTCACCACGATTTTAAACTCCATCTTGGTACTACCATACGCTTTTGCATCAGAAAACGAACTGAATAAGACACGTTTCCTAATTTCCCTAAGAGGTTATTTTTTAGATCTCGCCACATGGATACTTGACAGCCGCGTGTCGATAGTTGGATTAAATAAAATTTGAGGACCTACTTTAGTTTAATGACAAGGGGGGTAATCCTTAACAGTTAAGAAAGGCAGCTACATTAGAAATTAATTGGAAAGCTTCTATGGCCCACAGCGATGTCTTAGCCTTTTCCAATTTTCAACCGATACTTAAGCGAAATACCTTTAAGAATTTCTAGATCGATTTCCTTTAAATCTGTGTTGAAACTTCTGGTCAAATTTTAAACCCTTTTTTTTTGTCCCTTTTTTCCCATGGAACCCCATGAAAATCGGAAAATCCATGGGAGTACCTTATATGTCCCTCAGTGATGGCTGTATCTCAGCCAATTTTTACCCGATCCTAAAGCAGAAAACCTTAAACGATTTTTAGATCGATTTTCTTTAAATCTTAATTAAAACCTCTGAATAAATTTTAAACGCAAAAAATAGTTTTATTCGCAAAAAATACGTCGAATAAGCAAAAGATACTTGGAGTGCCATTAATTACTTTTTGTAGGGTTTTTTGCAATAATCAGGTTACATAAAACAAATTATGTATGGGTAATACATTTTATATTAATAATATTTATTCCCTCTTTAAACACAGTTCGATGCAAAAAACCAGAGTGGCGAATGCATATCCCAGAAACAGTAGAGTCCACACCCAGTAGAAGTGATGCAGCGACAAAGGTGCTGCCTCCGTCTTGGGAACTGCTGCTATAGTAATATTGAACAATTTTTTCAACTGATCAGGTGTATTTTTTTCCCAATGAAAGTGGATTCCGGATTCGTAGAGGCGATGGGCGAAAGTGCGAAGGGGCCATTTGAAGATCGAGTTTTTAGGAAGGAAGTGCATTCTTTGTAAATTAGAAATTACTGTCAAATTTTTTGAGGAGCAGAAAACTTTTCGACCCAGTGACTCTTGATATCTGTTGAGTTTTTGCCAATTTTCCTTTTGCATAACATAGGCGACACTGTCATTAAAGGACAGGGTAAGTTTAAGAATCTCCAATCTGGGCGCACATTTTGCATTTGGTATTATCTGAATAAAGAACTCAGGGCTTATATCACTCAAGACGTAGTGACAAATGCCACGTTCCACCATAACGTCAAGTCCACTGTCACGCAATTCTTCCAATTTTTTTATTTCGTGGCACCGGGAACGTTTGGTTAAATGAGAACTCAACTTGCAGGCGAAAAAGTTGCTCAACACGAAGCCGAAAATGCTGAGCACCAAGAAGAGCTGCCGTAGGGAGGAGTTCCACCTGCGACTGACTGGGAAGGGCATCCCCAGGATAGCACTTACAGCCCGCATATTCGCCACAGGATCGAGGTAACTGAATCGGTGGGTTTCATTGTGGATTCGGGCTTTGATCAGCCGGATGAAGCTCTCCACCACCACGAATGCCACATAGACGGGCAGAAGGTAGCGGAGCACGAGCCCAAAGTCCAGCTGCTTGAAGACCTCCTGGACGCCGAGCTCCTTTCCACAAGGCACCACAGCTACCAGTGATACGAATGTAAACGGATTTACGCATTCGGCAAATTCCACCCGGGAAATCAGACGAGGAGTAAGCTGCATATCAAAGTGATCCCACAGGGTCTTCGTGCTGAGCTCCAGACTCAAATTGTACTTCCGAGCAAACTCAATTATAAGAATATCGTCACTTGTGCTGATGGGAAAGTATTTCTTTGGCCCATAACTCACGTTGCTTTTGAAAAAGGCGTTCTTTTTGGGCAGAACCAGAGTATTTCTGCCCTGAAAATTTGTCAAGCTTCTGGGATAGATGTCACCGACTTGAGATAAGTTATCAATTCGCTCGAATTTTGCTTTGGGAAAGGCGTTCAGGCGATGGATATTGTAGGTCACGTTTTTACGATTTACGATTTCCACCAGAAGGACTTTGGTGAAGTGATGTTTCTCCAATTGTTTGCTTATCTTTCTGAGTAAGTTACCCGTGACATTAACTTGCATCCACAGAATGACTCGTTCTTGCCGCATTTGGTCGTAGTCCAGGGCCAATTTGTCCAGAAGACTCAAATCACTCTTCTGAGTTATGCAAACCAGCCCCAATGTGTTATATTCGTTGAAGTTGGAGGTTATTTCGAAAACTGCTAGCTCGTTGGCCCTCAGCATTAGCATATGCCGTGGACGCCAGTCCTGAATGTCACAGTTCTTAGAAGCTTGGCTCTGAAGAATAAACACCATCTTGACTTCTCGATGAGCTCTAACTCTTCTCACTAGGTTGCTCAAAAACTTAAAATGAGCTTGGCTGTTCGCCAATACCAATAAAGGAATCAGGACCAAAAGCAAAACTATGCTCGTTAAGGTTGGCATTTCTTCAGCTTTGCAACCTTAGGCGAATGGGGTCAACTAACGACTGAAAGTCTCAGAAGTTTTTAATTTTTAAAGTCAAGGTGCTATATTGGTTCCAATAAGTTGATTGCTAAACCTGTCAGCTTTCTGATCAGCTAGAACAAAAGTATTGAAAGTCAAAGCGAATTCACTTAACTTAATCAGGTGGGAGTGAATGATACTAATCTTTAATTAAATATAAGAAATGTTAAATGTCTGCAGAAAGTATTGATTTTATTGTTAGACATTTGGGCATTAATTTTAGATTAGATGGAAAAGCAAAAAAATTAAATCAATAAATAAACAAGAAAATCATTGTTCTTGGAAAATCCACCAAGCCATACATAGTGAAAAAAGCAAAATAAGAATCGTTTGTGTTTCCAGTGAAATATATCAAAACATACATATATTCAAACGTGCTTAGATCTCCCCGATTTTTCCGAGATATCTATTGCAATTGATGGGCATGAAATATGGCCGCAAATAATCTCACATCTGCCCGTCTGCTGGCTTAACGCTCTATTTTTCGGTGGAGAGCCACAGACAGTCATTAATCAGGCGGCAAATTGTCACAATTTGTGGCAATTGTTGGTCTGTGTTTCTGCTGCTGTAATTATGACCATTTTGCTTAATTGTTTTTGTTGCGGTTATCGTGGAAATTTGCTTTTTTTCGCTTTCGTTGTTTTTACCTCCCCCATATGATTGTTTACATTTAGCAATTGTTGCCAGTTCGCATCGCAAGTCGCTCGCTTTTGGCTTAACGATGCTAATTTGATTAATTTCCCCTTTGGCCCTCGGGCCCTCGAATGCCAGAAATGCCGGAACACACGTCGTATACGTAATGTGTGTGGCACGCCCCGCAACGGTTTATGAAACGTTAATTAGGACGGATAATTTGCCGGGGCATGGGAGAATGTTAATTGCGGCTCGGCAGAATGGTGGCACGGCATTTTCATTATGCCGATTGAGCGATTGAACACGATTAAATAGAATGTCAATTGAAGCCGATTATGACAGTCAATGGACATTCTATGGTTGTGGGAGTGCTTTTTTATTTAGGATTCAAGTATCATAAAATCGACACGCTTTTTGGATGGGCATTTATAAATTTAAAGCCCAGCCTGGCAATGTGTAACAATATTGCCTACCAAAGCTGTATGGCTGCCTGATGCCATTGCCACTCAATCAGTTGTCGGCCTGGTAACCGCACAAAATATATTCGAAGAAAATTTCATGAAAAATTGAATAAACAAATCTGATTATACGTCGAGTACAGAGACACTTTCTAACACCCCCCCGCCTACACTCACACTGCTACTGGCACTCATACCCCGGCGCAACAGTCGCTGTTCAATTTAGGAACCGCAATTTGTATTTCAGCCTGTCGTACACACAAACACATGTACCGGCTCATATACTATATATTTTCAGTCCAATTTTCAGTGCTGACAAATGCATAACCAGCGTTCGCCTGTCGGTTCACTCTGAATGTTATTTATAATAGAATTTATGCCTAGATATTGGCCATCCACGAATCGACCCGACCCGTCCCGGCCTGCTCCGCAATGAACTGGACCAAATGCAAATGGCAGCCTGTCGCCAGCGCTCCAATTTCGCTCATGTATCAGATTTTTATACCGTGGAAAGAGGGGGATGAGGGGCCTACTGTTTCTAGAGAGAGCTTGATGAAAAATAAATAAAAATCCACTTGCATAATTTATAAATGGATTGTATTTCCTGGATAAGTTAAAATTTTTTACAAGTTTCATCTGGTTCTCAGATCTCCACCAAAAAATAATCCCTATACCCTAAGTTTCTCTAAAAATTGGTATATTATAGGCCTATATTTCCCTCAATTCTCCAATATTTGTTTTCAATCTCTTGGCTTTCAGATTCGGGTTCTGGTAACCGCAGAATTCAGCAGCAGCAGTGTTATAATGAACCATTTTGTGGCGAAAAAAAATCGAATAAAAAAATACACAAAACATCCCCAAAAATGTTCCAAATTCCATTCGGAATGCATTTCCAAATGTACGAGTATCATACATGGAGAATCGAAATTGAAATGGACACTGGACAAATAGCATTTGACATTATATTAAAATGAAGTCATAAATTGGGCTTTTTGTAGTCCTTTCCCTTCATCCGTCTCCCACACACCCACTTTCCCGGCGAGTGTTGTGGCCCTTTCCCCGGTCGTATTTCTATTGGCATGTGCGTGTGCCCCGGAGCGTTAAAATTGCATGAAGGCAAATCTCAATGGCATTTATGTGCTGTTGTGGCGTCGCCATTAACACGATGAATATTGGTGAGCAGGAAGGGGTTGTAGGAAGGATGGTCTGGCTGGTGTGGCTGGCGCGGCAGTGGGTGTGTCTGTTCCAGTGGTTGTCAGCCATTGTCAGCAGTGGTGTTGGCCATACAACAATGCCCGCCGGCGGCATGTGTCAACAGCTGTTGCTGTTACCGATGCAGTTGCACAATTTTTCGGGACTTGCTGCAAGTGGCGAGTGAGAAAAGTCAATGTAATTGTAAACGGTCTTCTCGTTTTCACTAATTCCACACTCCAAACTATAATTACACATTGTGGCTATGCATTTAAGGTTATTATATTTGGTAGTAGTCCTTAAAATTTCGTAGTCCGTTTACGTTCCATTTCCGGTAAAGAAGAAAGCCTTTAAATTGTACCTTAAATATTTCAGCAGTTCTGGCAGCACGCTCTGTGTGTGAGAGTTCATGTAAATAGTTCACACGGCCACTAAAACGGAAATCGCAGTATCTTGGTGTGCGTGTGAGAGTAAGTGTGCCATGGCAGGCCATAGCGCTGCAAAGTATGCTACGAAATATTTTCAGTTTCATGCGCCAAGGCTTTACATTTATTGTGCATGTGTGTGCGTCTTCCGACTCCGCCCCCAGCCGCCTCTCCGTGCCAGAAAAATGGAATTGTTTATTTGCTTTCGCCTTTTCTTATTTAAAACTATTTTATGTGCCTGCTGTCCCAGCGTAAACTTTGCCAAAACGATAGAAAGTGCAAAAAAGTAGAGGAAAGTAGCGCGCTGGAGGCGGCGAGGAGCGAAAGTTCTGCAAGAGAAATTGGTAGTGGGACAGGACCGGAGTGGACCAGCAATTGGAGTGTGAAACGTTTTCACTTCCGTGTGTCGTAACAGAGGCGTTCCTACCTAGATTTAGAAAGGGATCTTTCGCTTCTCGCACGATAGTGAGCCCCTCAAGCTCCACCTCTGCTTGGAAACTTAGACGGTCCTGCAGCACTTTTCTTAACATGAACATAAAGTTTAGTCGATTCTGTGCAGTCGCTATTGCTGCTCCTGCTGGTTCGGCCGATGTTGTTGCTGGTTTTGCTTTTGGCCATGGCTTACACTCACTCTGCCATCGGACGTTCGACCAAAATCCCATTTGGCACTGAATTGTGAGCGCACATTGAATTTGTAGCTGGCTTAGAACTCGAGCAATCTATGGGCATTAATAGATATTTTATCTGTGCTTGTGTGCGCCGTTTTTGTGCAGTGTAATTGAATTGCAAGTGGACTCACACATGCACACACACATATTTTTTGGGCTTGGTAAACTGATGTTGGTTGTTGGTCAGCACACTCCAAACACAGGCAACTGGAGATACCCGGCGGTTTATGACGTGTTTATTCGCCACAACAATTGCGACACAATTGTGCCACATGCAGTGACATTTATGTGACCAACTCTGAGAGGAAGGGCAGGGTGGAGGAGGCGGCGTCAACTGATGTCTATGAGTTATGGCTCTTCAAAACGGCAACAGCAACTGCAACAGCCACTGCCGTTGCATGCCACACTGACACATTTAACTTTAAGTGTGTGTGTGTTGATGATAGTGTATTTGTGTGATAAATGAAGCATGCCAAGAAAAGCCAACTTTAGTTACGTGACGATGGCGATGGCGACTGCCTTTCGAAGTGACAGACTTAACAGTTTAGGCCTTTCGGCCATAAGAACTGATTTAAGCATTCCATAGGATAGCTTTGAGGTACCATGTAGCACAATTTTTAGAAAAATAAAAGCCAGATGTGTTTGTGTTTATCAGCAATTACGATTTTGCTCAAATCCGCATTCAATTCCAATAAGCAAATGCCTTCGCTTAAGCCTTAGTTAGCCAAATTGATTTGATTCAGGACGAACAAAGAGGCGGTGCAGAAAAAGGATTCAAAGTCGAGTTAAAGCCCTCGAACTCCTTGCCAATTGAACAATAAAGTCATAATACTCTTTTCGTGTTCTCCGTCTTGGGGGTAAGAGCCCGGGTAAATGAAATAAAATGCAATAAAATAACAACTTAACACCTTTGGCGCAAAATAGACAGAGCGAGCATAAAAGGGAACTACGCCCCCGTTGCCACTCCGCCGGGGAAGCAAGCCGCTTCTCCTGGAAGGATACAATTCACACACACAAATGCGCAGGCAATGCAAAAAGCAAACCGTAAGCGCAGACTAAGCCGATTATAGCACGAAAGTAACGGCAATGATGGGCTTGTGGCAGGGTATGGGAAAGGCAGGGAATGTATAGGAAAAGGGGGCGGTAAGTTGGCAAGAAGTGCGTGGAGATACATACAAGGAAAGAGGCACAAGGACGAGGAGCCAAGGCAGGCAATGAATTATCGCACTAGCTGCGCCAGCAGTCGAGACAAAAGTGTTGTAAAAAATGTAGTACTATTAATTTTCTTTGCATATCTTATTGTATCTTCATAAACAGACACACTCCCACACAAACAGTTGGAGGACTGTCAGGACTTTCAGGACTCGACGAACTGAAATCGGTAAAGAAGGTCCAACCCTCAGGAAACTGGCTTAGTGCTAAGAGATTTCTAATTCAGTTGAGCAGAAATAAATTACTTACCGTAATTGTTTGCCATATAAAACTGTAGCAAAATACCACTGAGATCTTAACACCCACCCCCAGGCAGACAGGGCCGCCCCTGCTCGCTTACAGTTCTTGCCAATTTTAGCCAAGCTGGTTTAGCACTTGCTTTGAGACACTTGCTTCAAAAGGATTCATCCTTACGAGTCCTTTGAGGGGGAGGCCGGCGAGAAACTTTAATAATTTTTGCAAAATTTATTTACTTGTTTACTTTTAATTTATCTGCCGCACACTTATAGTTGACATGAGAGTGCAAATTAATGCCCTTTCATTTTGTGCTTTATGCGAGCATAAATAATTGTGCAGAGGCAGGCAACAAAACTGCCTCGATTACAATTTTTAATTATTTTTTAATGAACTACACTTCTACGGCACAAAAAATATAAACACGGCGATGAAAAAACCTGTCCTTTACATAATAAATTTATGCATGTTTAAAGTGAATTTATTGCATGTTTAATTGTGGATAATGTGTCAGAAGCAGACGCAGACCGACTCCTGACTCCATTTTTTCTTTCCACAGTTGTTTAATGAAAATTTTCACTTTTATTATCTCAGCTGGGCGGTTGCTGTAATAGTTGTAATAAAAAATATTATGACCCGGCTTGAGTCGTATAAATAATGTATTCGAGGCTTTAAGGGAATCTATGTGAGAGAAAAACATCTACAGGACATTTTAATTAAATTAGTTTGTTGGCTTTTACATTTAAAGCAGAGTAAGCCCGTTTTAGCAAAACTAAAAATCTTACTGAGAACTAACTGTTCAACGAGGGAGGCCAATGGCCAATTAAACGTATCAGGTCCATCACCAATTGATTGGATCACCTTGTTAGCCATTTTACAGCCAGTACTCTTGGCCGCAGAAGCACTTACGGCAGTTACGTGCTCGTGTTGGCTCCAAAAATCACGCATTAGCTGCCAGTTTGCACTTAAAGTCATAAATTTATTTAAATATATGGACGGGGCCTCTGCCACCCTAAAGCCTCACACGTTCGGGGTGTGCTGCAGTAAAGCAAAATTTATATTAACTTCATTTTGCTGCTGCTACTGGTACTGCCTGTGCCATGCAGTCATTGCATAACTCATACGCACCGTGTGCCGTGCAGCAGTCAGTCAGTGAGGCAGTCGCGGTGCGTTCCTAGCCATCCGGCCATCCTGCCAGCCACCCAGCCATTCAGCCAGCCATATCACCAACACAAAGCGAAGAAAGGGCCTCGAAAAATGGCAGCCAAGAGAATTTTAAATTACGCTTTGAGTGTCGAGATGGCAGCAACTCGGGCCGAAATGCAACTGCAACTCCGACTGCAGCTGCACCAGAGACTCGTGCATCGTTCATCCCTTTCCTTCTCCGCCGTTGCATGCATTTAATTGCAAATGAAGCAGCAGCGGCATGGCAGTGGCAGAAGCAAAGCGCTGACAATGCCAATTGCCAGCTTGGCAAAGCCCCTTTCCCCCGGTGGAAGTGCCCCCTCTCTGGCAGTGAAACTGCAACGGCAAACTGCAAATGACGTTTAATCAAAGTTGTTGAAATTGATAGCATTGTTTGTAGTGCACGAATGCGAGGCAAATGGCAAAATGCATTTTAAAGCGCGCCAAATGTGTTAATTAAAGTTACCCCGCCTTGTGGCATACACGGATTTGCTTTCGGCGGTGCTTATTGTCTGGGCCAATGGAGGAAATCCCATAAATAAATAAGCCCAGCATCGCCAAGGTAGAATGCAACAGATTTGTATTAGAAACACTGGAGGGCAGACTGCCGGCAGAGTGCAACTTAGTTGGTGGGGCAGGCAATAAAATAAAGTCTTAGCCAAGCGCCCCCCGAAACTGGGGGCACTTTTAATTTGTTGTGCAACAAATTAGCATTTATTTTCATTACGATTCCAACTTGTTCTGGATGCTGGTTGCTGGCTGATGCTGTTTGGTGCCACAAGCTTGGGGGGCTGCCACAGGCGAACCACGTTTTTCCATTCACTTTTTGTCAGCTATTCTACTCGTTGTTTGCTTTTAATTATAAATACATGTAAGCTAAGCTATATTAACCCCCTTAAGTTTTTATTTCTTTAAATTCATCTAAGTTATTTCGTATTTAATTAAGTGGATACACATATATTTATTTAAGAAAAGAGTTCCACCTAGAAAAGAGTCGCATTCCGCCGGAAAGGTTAAAACCTTTTATACACAAGTTGAGGCCCTTTGATAGGGCTTTTTTGCCTTTAAATTTTAAATATACCATATAGTTGGTTAATTATTTTTTTGGAAATTATATCAAAATGAATATACTGTGGGTTTTCTGACTGTTACTCATGTAGAAAGTGTTTAAAAAAATTGTGACTAGGGTCTTAAAAAATAAACATACTCTATAATCCATACTTTCTACATATGTATAAATCAATCGCTAAAATTGGGAACTTAAACTCTTAATCAGTTTAAACACTATGTAATAACTAGTAGCTGCAAAACCACTGGCATTCAATGGGTTAATGCTGCCCATTTCCTCCCCAACTGGTTTAGAAATGTGCGCGGGATTCTTGCATTCAATTAATGCGTGTGCGCGTATAGAAAGCATCACGGCGTCGCGACTGCTGACCATCGTCATCATCCCCCTCTGGCCCCACATCCCCCTCCATATCCCTTTCCCTGTGGTCATACCCAGACCCATAGCCACGGTCATCATCGCCACCTTGCCGGCGCTGGGCATTATCCAAGTAAGAGCTCACGCCCGACTGAGCGCCCAACGAAGCTGAAGACCACGGTGCGGATGAGTAGCGCTGCCGGCCACCATGCGAGCCGTAAGACCAAGGATGCTGCTGCCCCCGCCTCCCCGATCCGTAGCCGTACCCGTAGCCGTAACGGGGCGACTCATTCCTGTCCGGGTAATAGTGGTGCTGATAGTAATCGGACCCGGGTCTGGAGTCTGATTCAAAGTCCGGCCGCGAGGAATGGTCCATGTGAGTGCGATTAGGGTACGGATACGTATCGGCGGCGGTGTGGGGCGGCGGGGGTGGCCTGCGTTGCCCGTAATTATAACCATCGTCCTCGATGTGGGGCCGATAATCGTGAGGATTCGGCTTAGGATTGTGCTGGTGCTACAGAAACAGAAAAATACACAACAATTAGAAGCAATAAGTTTCAAGGAGAGGGTTTATAATAAATATTAAAAATTATTCCATAAATACTCTACTTGATTAAAAATAAACCGAATCATTAAATGAAAGAACTTTCACCTTATTTTGTTCTGTGTAGTGCTTGGAGCATGTACTGGTTACTCACCGTTGATCCACCACTATAGGGCGATTGCAGCATCACAGCTGGCGTGGCAAGGGGCTGAGGAGGCAAACTGGACGCGGGCGCTGCCACCAAGGCCGGCTGCAGCTGCCAAGACGGTTCTGCCACCGACTCCGCCACAGACTCCGCCGTGGCCATGGTGGAGGTCTGTTCGCGTGAGTTCATCTCGGCTAATTTGTTGAAGCGGTTACGACTGCCGCTGGCCGTGAGCACCATTACCGTGGGATTCATGTCCGCCGTGTGTTCCTTCAGGCAGTTCTGGAGCATGTTCACAAAGAAGAAGAACGAGAGCAGCGTCAGTGCGTTCATCACCGCGGCACCCGATTTCTTTGACTTCTTCGAGGATTTGGTGGTCATGGGCGGTGGGGGAGGAGCATGGTGGTGGTGGGACGGATACGCGGGCCCGCTGCCCGCACTCGGATAGGATTGCGACTCCGGCTGTAGCTCGTACTCCACGGATGGCTCAATGCTGTTGGAATTTCAAAGTTGCGTTAGGATTTTCCCTTTTTGGTGTCGGTGTCGGTTTCGGGTTTGACTTTAACATTCATGGCACTGTTGGAAAAGACTTGAGGGAGTACTCTTCGTGTTTAATTGATTTCTTTTTTAATAGTTTCTTTTTAAAACTTTGTATTCAGGACTGGATTTAGCCACAAAGCTTTAATATCCTACCTGGTACCTTGAAGTCCTTTGTCATTTCTCTTTCTGCATGCTTACCCATAGCCGGAGTGTCCGCTTCCACCAGTCGACGTTGGAGCATAGGCTCCGTTGGTGTTGCTGGCCGCCCCCACCAAAGTCGGTCGGTGCCCCAAGTGCGCATACTCAGCCAGCTGGGCCTGGTGGTAATGGCTCGGGTAGTAGTGGTTCGGTTGAAAGTGGTGGGGATAGTAATGCATTCGATGCGTTTGACTGCAAGAGAAGGTCGTGGTCTGAGTTGATTGCCGTTGCAACTTCCTTTCCTCTCCAGACTCCTTTCTAGCCTTTGTCCCACTTTAGACCTGGCTAAGTGGCTGAGGTATCTGCCCAGTGGCTCTGTTTAAAAGCTACTTATTTCAGACACCCTACCCTGGAGTCTTGTAATCAACTAATCAGAAGGAACAGATCTGACTATTTGTAGATGACAATACAGTAATCCACTCTTAGACTATAATGTTTCTAAAACGTAGCCAGTTCTATCTAAAAGATAAACTAGTTTTATTACCAAACCTACCCATTATCTTCCGCAATAACTGCGAGTAGAGGATGCTGCGTGCCCTGATAGGTTGCCAAATTTTCGAGAGACATTTTCGGCGCGTTTTCAGGCGGCAATTGAATTGTTAATTGATTTGTGCGAGAGGTGCGCTATATGTTTATCACTCCAACCGACAGCTCCGAGGTGGCTGTTTAAGCTGCCATAAACCGATGCCAGCTCGACGGCAGCGGAAGCCGCAAACGGAGAAGGCGAAGGACCTGTATGGGGCACAGGACAGTGGCGGTCGGAGGATGGCAGGGCCCAACCGCAAGTGACAATGTCGCTTAGGCAACTGGGCAAAGCCTTTGCCAGACACTTGGCTGGCAGCCGGCTATTAACGCCAGAAATACCAGAATGATGATACAGGGGAAAGTACAGGGGGCTCTGGGTCTGGGGAGTGGGGGCTGTCATTGTCAGCTGCTAAGTGAGTTTGGCTACAACTACCAACTAGTGACTACTGACTTCTGAATACCGAACACCTACCTGAACAACACCCAGCCAACTGGCAACACCTGAGAGCAGGGATGTCGTTTTGGCCTTTTCATTTTAAAGTTTATATTATTTAATATTTAATCATCTTATGAGTATGGTTTGGGTTTCTTAAGCCGCAATTACTTTATATTTTTAGCTCTTTTTAGCCATTTCATATGATTAATAAACCCGGCTAAGACCCCATGTGGCAACACTGAGAGCGGCAAGCTGCCGACTGACAATTGCCGGCAAAGTGTTTTGTGGCGACATCGGCCAACTGACACACACCTGAATTGGAGCGTTGCAATGTGTTGCACGGCATGTTGTGCATGCGCTGCACATTTTGGCCAGGCCAGAACAATTAGTGCACGACAAAAGCCAGGCCTCCGTCTCCTTGGCATCTTTGCGCCCTTGACACCACCTGACACCCCTTCGGCTCCCCAATATCACCCAACCTGTCAGTGTTAATGACGCTGCAGTCGCTTGTTTATTGCATTAAGAGCTCTATGGATGCAGCGTTATGCATCAGAAATTGTCATAATTGTGCCACGTCTGGCCCTGACTTTGCCACAGACTGTGTCGCCTCCGCTATCGCTATCTCTGTTCCCGCCTTCCCGCCCCAGTCTCTGTCTGCGCAGCCAAATGGAGCTCGGTTCTTGTGGTCGGTTCCCAGCTGCGGTTTGGGGTATCCTGGCATGGGCTCTCAAAAAGGACATCTCTTGGGGTGGACTGCAAGATTTATGACTGGGGCTAATAGTTTTCATTGCCAGAAACGGTTTTTTTTCATATTGGATGTGACATTCTAGAGGGATATAGGTTTTTGCATTAAATTCAAATAATATTCCCTTTTTTACACATTTTGGGAAAAATAATTTTAAATAAATCTTAAGGGGTGTTTTAATGGAATGGTCTTGATATATAAATACTTAAATAATGTATTTCCAATATTTATGGATTTTATTATTATGCTAAAGGTACAAGGATATCCTCTTACTAACTTCATCAATAGGTACTAGCCATTCCAAATGGCTTTTCTCAAAAAAAACCCTGCCCTGTGTCTTTGCGAAAACCGGAAACATTAGACTGCAATAACAAATATTTAACATTTCCGCAGTGCTAGCAACTGCGAGAAAACAAGAAGAACAACATTAGACACATTCCCCCAATCAAAAGCATATAATAAATTGTCAAATGCTGCTGCACTGCAACTTTTCCACGCATTTCGGCTTTGTAAAGCTTTGATTTGTCGATTCCTGCCCCATCCATCCCCATCTCCTTTGGCGCTTCAGGATGTTGAAAAAACTATGAGACTTTTGCTGATGCTAAAAAAAATAAGAAAAAAGCAAAACAAGAACGGAAAACTAACTTTTGGGGGAATCGAACCCCACAATACCCTTGCCACAATACAGGCTACCAGATATAGGAAGGATATCCCCCTGCAAGTATATAAAAATAATCAAAAAATCAAACGCTTTGAGGGGTTGAAAATTTGAGAACTTGGTGTAGCGAGGGACTTGGTGTTTTTATTTAGCCTTTGTTGCTGGCGCCATTGTCAACATATTTCAGGACTTGTCTAAAATCGAGACACAGAGTCAATAATAAGCTGCCTAGAACATATTGTGCCACTACCAAGATTTTTACAAGTCTTTATGGCCATCGAAATTGGTCAGCGGGCGGCCAAGGAATTTAATGACTGGAAAATGAGGCATTTAAGCCAAGTGCCAACCAAAGTTTTTCTGTGAAGCGAACGTGCCTGGCAAGTGCCAGATATTTATGGGTCTGCATCTGTATCTCGAACTCGGTCGCAGTCTGTATCTGTATCTGCGTATCTGTCTCGGGTTGAACGATGTGTTCGCAGTTCGCAGGACAATTGCTGGAAGGGGTGTCAGACGGGGAAGTCAGGGCGGAGGCGTACATTAATTGCCGTGATTAACACGTAGGCGCATTAAATTATACAAAATAAAGAGAATGAAATAATAGCCCTTTACTCAATACTCTTTCGACATAAAATACAAAATATTTAAAGGACTTAAGACCTTAAGACCCACAAAATTCGTAATAAAATAAAAAACAGAATAAATCATAATCTAGAATGTACTTCAATTATACCTTAAGTAAGGATATCGAGCGAAAGCCTACACTTTGCCACATCAATTAACGTATATGGGGGCGGCAAATGCAACCTATCCTTCGAATGTCCTGGCGGCGTGGGTGCATAAATCATGTTGGGTACATTAGGTCCTTGGAAGCCCTGAGCAGCGGGGCGTTAGACAAACTTTTTGGGAATGAAGAACCAATGCGAAAGAAAAATAAAAACTCGTTAGACTGGCATAGTAGAAGGATGGCAGGACGCCAGGACGAAGACGTGCCCGGACTAGGAGTCGAACTCTGACTCGGACTTGGACTAAGACTAGTGGCAGGACTACACAGTGTCAAGTGTAAAGAAGAACTACTAATCAGCAGTTAATTCTTATCTTTAATTAAGTGCACGTTCCACCCCCTTTTTCGGACCAGAGTCCTTGGCCTGGCCAAGGAGCTGGCCAGCCGCGCTTTATGGCAGGACTCTGAAGGAGTCCTGGGAGTCTGGGCCCGAACTTTTTGCTCAACACTTTTGTTTGCCCCCACTTTCTGGCATTGTCCTCAAGCGGGCGCCTTTGTCCTTTGACCGTCTCTGGCCTGGTCTGGTCAATTTAATGAAATAATCTAGGCAAACACTCCTGAAAATTAAGCAGTTTTTTCGGGCCAGCCTTCCTTCCGCTCTCAAATTAAAAATGTAATGCGTTAGCTTTTGTTTTGTTGCTTTGGCGAATAATTAAATGCGCGAAAAAAAGGAGAGATTGTTGCAGCAACATTAACCCGACATCCGGCTGGCCAATTAAAAAGGCCACGCAACAATGGCCAAGGCGCTCATGCATGGCTTATCCTTAGACTTTGTGCGCTAACCCTCGCCAGTCCTAAGATGCTGGCGAAAATCCGCGATAAACTTCGGTAGCTTGCTATCCGAGGCAGATGATATCCGGGGGAGTCCATAAGTCATTACCCCCATTGAAAGAGGCACGGCGAGGTATTTCCCTCAGGTAAGAACACCAGCAACCAGCTTTCGGCTCTCAAGTTGTTTGACAAACAATACACATCATGGCTGTGAGGAGGGTACTTTTTGTTGCTTCTTTTTTTGGCCCGAAAGGACGAAAAGGAGACGAGTGCCGCACTCGAGCGTGCCCGTCACATTTTTGCGCTTTTACATGAACCAGCCCCAGTCCCAGCCATTCTCAGTCCATGCAACAGCGCTCCACAAAACGTGGCATCATCAGATACATGAAAACATTTTTTTCACCACTGAAAAGCTGCACTAAAAATAAAATAAAAGATATTTTATTGAAGTGGCAAGTGGTGTGAGGCGCGAGACGAGTGAAAGGGAAGCGCCTGGCACCCCTCGCAGATTAATTATGCATCGCTAAAATGCTAAGCCAGGTAGCTCCGAAACCAAAGCACCGTGGCATCGCAGTGGCCCAAAGGCAAATGCCAGCGAAAGTGCTTATGGAGGTGGGGACTCGTATACGTAAAAGCCAAGTACAAACCACAACAAAATTAAAATCAAAATAAAATCACAAAAAATCCTTTTGGGCAAATAGAGCTGGGATGTGGAATGACTTTTATGCTCCTTGCAGTCGAGCATGAACCAATGAGATATCCTGTTATATGTTTCAATATTTTTGTATATTTCACATACATAGAGATTAAAAAACAAATGTTATTGGTATGTGTGGAATTGATTAATCAAATAATAGCCTTTCAAAGGTCATATTCAGATGGAAGCTCCCAAAAAAAGGGGAGCTTCCGTACTTCAGAATTCGCCGATGGCACCTCAAATCAAAAAGGCCTGTCACAGACAGACCAACAAACCATCATACCTCTTCATGCATCCATACACGCGCCCACAGTCACCCACAAAATTATTCGCATAAATAAAAAACGGACAAAAAAATTAAAATTAAAATAAAAATTAAAAGCTACAGCTGAAAATCAAGCAGCAAACGTCAAAGCCAAAAGCGCGAAGCTGTCGGAGCTGTCGTCGTGTCACTGCACCCGTATTTCAGGTGAGGAGTCCCCACCTACCACCTGCCACCACCCACACCCATACTCACACACATGCAGAGGAGGTGTTTCGAGTCAAGCGGCGCATACACACACATGCCCACTAGAGACACACATACAGGCGCAGGTAGATGGATGGAATATCCTGGAGAAGCAACGACAACGACATGGTAGTACCCACTTGAAGCGCTTTTAACAAAAATTCTTTTAATTTTTACTCTTCTTTTTTCGGCAACACCAGCTTCGGAGGCTGTGGAAGAGGGACACACTGAGTGGGTGAGAGTATAAAAAATAAAGTATGCTTAAATGAGAAAAGTCGAAGGATACCCTGGAAATTAATTAAAATTCAGATGGGTCTTGGATATCAGACTTAAAGGATTAGAGACATGTTTCTGGAGGTATTTACTGGTTATTTACTGTTTAGAATCTTTATCTTTATCTACTTAATAGATTAGAAAGTATTCCAAAGGTATGAGATCCTGGGAAAAGG